ATCGAACACTATAGATCAATGCTTATTATACATTACTATAGAAATATAGGTTTGATACATTCAAGCCTACCGTACCCTCAGCTTTGACCAGTAACATATCAATTTCTTCACACCAATCGATCAGCAGAAATACGCATCAGTGCTTTCAAATATTGTGATCAAAGGGTGGAAATTAACCTGTATTACGGCGATGTCAAGAAATAACATTCAGTGGCATTGAGAAATCGATGCTGGTGAATAGTTCAGGGATCAGTTGACAGTCAATATCCAAAAATGATTATCAAAAGAGAGTTCATGTTGCTTCAAGGATTTTTACTCTGGTAGGATACCACCGACTGAAGATAACCACATATTCTGATTCACGTCAGAATTATTTAAACGCTTGCAAAACTGTGTGTTTTGTGCAGTTTTCCTGCGATCATTTTGTTTCAAGATTGGGCCTTATCAATTCGTCAGTAAAATTTATAATTTTTCACTATCTTTACAGCTTGAAATTGCAAAATTTGTAATTTTTCATTGCAGCTTATCTTTAAGAAATCAAAAAATTGAAAGAGTGTGCTGTATTTAGTTTGTGTAAAATATCAACTTTTTGATTTGAAAACAATTTATCAAATTTATTGTTGCGAACTCGCAACTTTTTCCTATTATTAATCATTGTTGGTGCTAACTGCTGTTATTAACGACAGCACTATTCATGTATATTCATATTAATTATTGTTTATAACGTCAACGATTGGTTTAATTGATAATGTCACTCATGTAAATATTGTAAGTCGACGCCATCATAATGTCACTCTTGTTCAAAAATTGATAATGTCACTCCTGTAAATATTGACGCAATAATTGATAATGTCACCCGTGTAAACAATGATATTGTCAACCGTTATAGTAATGACACCAACGATAAGGCCCATTGATAATGTTCTGATGTTCTCTCATCTCTATTCGCATATTGTACTTTACTCCCATATTAATGTATATATGCATCTTCATCTCTCAGTTGTGACTAGTGTTCGTCGGGGAACGGGGTCCCCGTCGGGGACCCCGGCGGAGAACGCGGGGAGCGCTCCCCCCCCGCGCAATTTGCTCCCCGACTTTTTTGCGGGGACCCCCC